TAGATTTGGTCATGTAATGGAGGGAAGGACATCCTAGATATATTTTATAGAATTTTGTACGTGAAAGTAAAGATGTTATGTTTCAGTATCAACCCTTTTTCAGCATTAACCCGAATAAGTGTTTGAAAGCAATAAATGAATAAGACTTAAGAAAAAATAGTGAGAGAACTTTTTTTTTCATAAAATGCATCAGTCATCATATTCTACTTGTGTTATTTTCATCTATCATCTCAAGTACTGAAACGGGGACTGCACAAGTACTAATGAGGTAAGTGCATTTAATTAGTAATTATTAGTCCTTGGTAATACAACATTGTATGTGTGAAGCTTAGGTGAACGAAATGTTATGAGTTCAAATAAATGTGTGCTTCTTAGACAAATACACAGAGAGAAGCTGGTAAAACTCGTTTTGAAAGATGAGGTCAATGGACATAATTTTGTTGTGATTAGACGCAAAGCTGCAGAAGGGGGATATCTGCGTTCTGTCCTACGAAGGGATCGAACAATGGGGTCGTTACGTAAAATACAATATTGAAAGAATAAAGGACCCATTTACCAAAGAACTTTTGGGGTGTGAATATAATCACCGATTTTCTAGCACAAAATAACATTAATTCACACACAGGACAAAAAAAGGAGATCAAATGGATGAACTTACTAAAGAAGATTAGAAACCAGCTGATAACGGCTGAAAAACAACTTTATAGAATTTAGTCGAAATTTCACGGGCTTGGTAATAACACTCGGGTCGTTATAGGCTAGAAGCCTGAAAACTGTATCTGAAAACATACAACAGTGCCACAGTTTATATGTGGATAAAATACTTCACTAGAAATATGTGGTAATATAAAACTGTTTTACAAGTTTCTGTTAGATTTTATACATTAAAATCGTAATATATCTACGACCTGTCGTTCCTAATTTGAATGCCAACACACATGCACACTAATATAAAACACACTGTAATAATATTAGAAGAAAACAATATTTAGTGTAAGTAATTATTTAACAGTTGATAGTGATAAAGGACTTGAAATTGGTTTTACAATTACTAACCCAATATTAATTGAAAAGCTGTTCTATGGTCGAATTTTTAGAATTATGTTATACATCGTCATGCAGTGGTTAGCGACACAATATTCATTTCTATCCAACCGAGTTTTTTTAGAGTAAAATAGGCGTGTAATGTTTATTTGCACATTCTACACTACATTCACAAAAGAGCTTCATTATGTCATGCTTATCTCGAGAATAAGCAACAAAACTTAAATAATTTTCGTTATAGGTGGCTAGTATTCATATGTTCATGGATTTTAGTAATTTTTATATCATGTGAAAATTTAAGTAAGTAAGTAATGTACAGCTTGTATAATTGTTTTTCCGTACTGAGAATGCTGCTTTTCAAACGTGAATAACAGAACGCTTGTAATAATGGATTCTAATGATTTTTATGTTTTCGTGAGGGGTAAAGGAATATTTTTTCTTTATTAAAAGGAGTCTAGCACGGTATGGTGATTAAGGCACTCGATTCGCAATCTGCGGGTGGCGGGATCGAATCTCGTCACCAAACGTTCTCGCCCTTTCAGCAGTGGGATTTAATAATGTGATGGTCAATCCCACTATTCATTGGTAAAGAGAAGCCCAAGAGTTGGCAATTAGTGAGGTTGACTAGCTTCTTTCACTCTAGTCTATCATTTTAAAATTAGGGACGGCTAACATAGACAGACAAAACATCTTCATTAAACTTAGCGCACATGTTACTACAGCGTACTTCCTGATTTTATGTTGATCAGGTGAAAAGCTAGTCCAAAACACTAATGTTAGGGTTTAAACGCCGAAAGCGGACGAAGCATTAGAAACCAATAGCCTTAAATTTATGGTGAAAGCCACGAATGCTGCATGTGTTTTTTAATTGACATTCCTTTTAACTTGCCAATTTCGAATTCAAAATGAGAGGCGTTTAAGAAATAATTAGCACCCCAAAAAAACTTTTGTTCAATACCATGCTTTTTATCACATTTTTAAGCATGGAGGTTACTAAGTAATGTTGTTGGAAAAAAAAAAAAGACAACGCAAAAAAACATGCATAATCATTTCAAATATAAAATGTGTTCTACATGAATGTATATGCTTATTTATCTTAATGTATACCGGTTTGAAAGATAAGAATACATTTAGTTTGGGATACACGGGAAAAAGTAAGTTTTTTTTTTTTTGTCAGGTGCCAGAAATATATTTTGTTCATATTATCTGCTTAAACTTTAGATGCTAACATCATCTGTTTGATTGTTTACTTTATTAATTTCCCATGCTGGACTTTTGTTAATTTCAGTTTCAAGAAACATTTTCTTTTCTTTATTCTTATCCTTCTGATAATCCTCAATTACATAAACAAAAGGTTTTTAATCTTTTTGAATTTTCTTTTCGATCTCAGCTGCTAGACTTGCTAGATTTAGTTACTATGGGTTTCGTCACTGGTGACTTCAACCATTCGAATTTCTTTTGTTAAACTCACCAATTGAAGTTATGTTATTATTACCAGCTTTCAATCGACAAAATCTAAACTCTTTGAAATTTTAACCCCAGCTGCTTGGATTTTATTGTTGAATTTAGATGTTTGAATTTCCGTTGTTAACTTGAGCTGTTCGAAGTTTCGTTGTTGATGTTTGCTGTTTGAATTTTGTCGTTAATTTCAACTGCTTCATTTTTTGTCGTTAATTTCAACTGCTTAAATTTTCGTTGTAAGTTGCAGTTGCTTGAATTTTCTTTGATACTTTCAGCTTCTTGAAATGTTGCTTTTATTCTCAATTGATTGAAATATTTTTGTTCATTTCAGCTAGCCCCGGCATGGCCAGGTGGTTAGAGCACTCGATTCGTAAGCTGGGGGTTGCAGGCTCGAATCCCCATCCCATTAAACATGCTCACCCTTTCAGCCGTGGGGACGTTATAATGTGACGGTCAATCCCACTATTCGTTGGTAAAAGAGTAGCCCAAGAGTTGGCGGTGGGTGGTGATTACTAGCCGCTTTGCCTCTAGTCTTTCACTGCTAAATTACAGACAGCTAGAGCAAATAGTTCTCATGTAGCTTTGCGCGACATTCATAAACAAACCGAACTCACAGCTACTAGTGTTTGCATCATTAACGTCGGCTACTTGAATTTTATTTGGTGATTTCAATTGCCGGAGTGTTGTTAATCGCAACTATATATTTAAAAAAAAATCTCTTTTGAATATCAACTGCTTTTTTAATTTAGCTGTAAAATTGCCTCTTTTCAGTCTAAGCTGTTAGAATTATCCGTTGTGTTATCCGGCGGTAAGCTCACTGACTTATAACGCTTAAATCCAAGGTTCAATTCTCGGCGGTAAACAGAATGTATGAATTTCTTTTAGTAATATCATATTGTTTTCTCGCGTTAAACTTGGTTGCTAGAAGTTTAGCTGTATATTTCAGCTGGTATACAGACTATACTGAAGTACCACAAAAAACGAAACTACAAAACATAACTTAAAAACATAAAATGGACCTTTAGAGCCTCTACTGAATAAGGAAAGAAGTAGCCGTGTATAGAATACTGTTGAATGATTTTGAGAGTTATTTCTTGTCACTCATTGTGTGGATTTTAATACAATACTGCTCTGGTATTTCTTGCTTTACTGAGCAAAATATTCAGTTACAAAATATGACTGGCATATTTCTGATCTTTCAGTTGTTTCAAGGAACTGCTTTGATAAAATAATTTTATGGTTGATTATTTTCTAGCATCGTGACTATCATAACAGATAAAAGAAAATGAAGCTGTGCGAGTTTTACGTTCGTAGATAGTGAGTCTAATCTATCGATTAGCATGCCAGCTTCTGGTTCAGAAGGTCCAAGGTTCGCGACTTGATTTCTCTGAACACTCTCCATATTTCTAGCTACAGTGAATTATGAGGTTGACATGCAATACCGTTATTCGGTTAAAAGCCGGACAAAGCTCTTGTGACGCTGGAGGCTGCTGACTGGCTGCTTTCCCTGTAATTGAAAAGTCTGTGTCATGGTCGTTTTGCCCCCTTCCGTCTCTGAGATGCCGCTCATTATGAGAATATTATGTTCTTTACGTGTGGTATTATTTCTTTTTTTTTTAGCCTAGTTGTTTAAAGTTACAGTAACGCACTTGTCTTCTTGATTAATATAATGTTTTTGCGTTATTGGCTATATAGTCAGATAAACTAAAAAAAAATGTTACATTTCACTTTGAATTCACAACAACATCAAGATAACGTTATTCTGCTCCAAGTAAGTTATCGAAAACGGTACGAAATCGTTCAACTAAATAAATATTATTCATGAAAAATACTTAACGCTTAATAATGAAATCGAATTACAATTAAAATTTATGTTAACTAGAAATGAAAGTTTATGACATACATTTAAACTTGATTAAAAAACTGATATTATCTCCGAAATTATTCAACATTCAAATTTCTCATTTTTTTTTTAAAGATGTATCTAATTATTGGTATCAATCAAGATTAACAGTAGATATCGAGTATTCACGGACGGTATTTGATTTTAGAGTAGTTTCCTCGGAAAACCCATTTCTGATGAATCAGAATTCAAGTGAGAAGCACCTCCTGAGTGTTGAAAAATAATATGAATATTGAAAATTATCTCGAAGTCAAAGTGCACATTTTATTACATACCTGTAATAACACTATAACAGAAATTAATTTTGTATTATCTCAACATTATTCCTTATTGTTTTACTTGCATGTTTGTTCTAAGTATAATATCCCCGATACATTGAAATGAACTTCAAAACCGTATGATTTGCGAAGGGCGAGTTTAATGTGACATTCAAGGCAGCTGTGTTTTTTAACTTCTCTCTCCATAGTTCTCAAGTTATTAACTCCATAGTATACACTTAAACACCACAGAAGTTACTTTTCACACGAAATAATAGGTTTTTTTACTGATTGTTGATTTCATGTGACACTTTTTATAATTACCTTGGAGGTAGTTGAATCCCAATCACTGTTGAAGAACTTCATCAACTGGGATGCGGTTTTCTTCAGACTTTCACTAAAGGTAAGTGGCCAGATTTTTTTTTCCATATATTATTTTTCTGTGATTTTATTTCTCATGAGACGTGTATACTACTTCTCTTTTACCTAGTTATAAAAGTTGCTTCCAAACTATTCTTCCTTGCTCTATGAATGCCCGTTGGCCGCTTTATTACGACCTTCACAGACAAAGTTGCAAAACACTACATTTGTCTGCATATGCAAAATAACACCATATGATGAGCCAAGTGACTTCTCTTCTTAAGCCTAATAAATGCAGTTTTCTAAGTATGGCTAGTTTATAAAACAAAGGTGAGAGAAATAATATTTCCGACTTTTACAGAGGCATGATAGTCGGCCTCCATCTCTCCGGAAACAAACAGATGTTCCTCGGAAGGGATTTTCAAAGACATCTGTTATCACAGTATATCAATAGTGGCAATCAGAGCTGCTCGTTTGGTAGAACTTCAGATTGAATAAAATATATTTGTAGTAAAAGGTAATTAGTAGATTCCAAACTCGCCTATGCTCAAACTGTGTTTTTAAAATTTAATACAAAAAATACCTTTGCGTCTCTACTGTTACTACATTTAGTTGTAACTGAGATTCATCAGAAAAAAATGAGTCAAGAAACCAACATTAGCATTAAATCTAGGTGTTTTATATTTTAAGATAATTATGCTGTTATACTTTGATTTTATAAAATACAAATATATTAATGAACAAATTTTAATTGGTAGCCTGTAGAAAACATCCATCTCAGCTTTGTTAAGCAACAATTTCTGAATACACGTTTTTTAAAACAGAGTTATGAAGAATAATGTTTCGCAAAATATATTGAAAATTCGAAAGCGTCATTGTAGACAACATTCGCAATAAGAGAAATATCAGTTCAAAACAGATGTTACTGTAGGAGTGTTAATTTCTTCATTTTTAAAACGACCAAGCCGATTAGCTAGCAGTAGAAAAAGTTAGGGAGCCAGAAGGTAGGGGTTGTCTTTAGTCCTACACGTGCGGTTACACTTCATTGCGTCTGTGCTACAGTTAAAATTGGGAGTGTGTAACTGGCGTGAAAAAAAAAAAAGGAATCGGTTCAATGACAGTCCCTGTTCACTCATGAATATCCTAACTGAAAGGCTTTTAACCCTTTGCTTTATATCAGCCAGACAAACGGAAGTGCGTCACACCTGCTCCCTGTCCCCCCCCCCCCCGTCTCCTGGTCTCGCACTGTATCCTGGGGTCCCCTTTCGGCCTAATCCTTGGTAAAAAGCTAAACAACTTGCTTACAGTTACAAAGTAAAAACTTATCTTTCTGTAACTCAAAATATATGGCTGATTGCTTGAGTTTTATGATTCACAGCTGGAAATCAGTTGATTGGTCCTTTAACATGCTGTCTAGCATCTTAGCTTCTACTATCTACTGCACAGGAGCTTTGATATCGATTTTTGCCGATTCTTCTAAAGGTTCGTTTACCAGTCTGACAAAGGGTTGCGTGATTGGTAACGCCAAACATCATTCTGTAGATAAAATAATAACACTCTCAATGTGTGAATGAATTATAAAATTGTGTGATAAAGTTAATGAAACTTTAAAGAAGTAAACACATTAAAACCTTTTTGTAACTTTGTCTTTCACCATAACATCTTCGTGATTCCTTTACAAGCTTATGCTTGGTTAAGGTATGTCAGATGTTCTATTTAGTGTTTAGATATGCATGTTATAAACTTTAACTAATTTTCAAATCTTAGGCTGTCAGATTTATCTTCTGGAATGTAAACATAATTTTCAAGTAACTTTATTTTAGTTTGTCAGTTCCAAAAATTCTTAAAGCTTTTTGAACAGCTGATACAAATTGCGTTTTCAATAAATATAATTAAGTGTAGCCTAAATATTGACCATGGCCTTGTGATAACTTCACAGATCTGTAATTTAAAAACTTAAACATTGTTGTTAGAGCAGCAAAACAAAACGTTAATGAGCTGGTATTGATATGCACAGTCATTATTATCAGTAATTTATACACCTGCTGGTGTAGCATAAATATCATCACAGTAAACACCAGGCTTGAAAAAGATATCATGAAACAACAACACATTGATTGATAAGTACTTGGTTTAACATGGTACATTTAGATTACCAACGCGCTAAAAAAACTGGCTTAACATGAGTCTCATAAAACAGAAGCAGATTGATATGTACCTAATGTAACATGGTTGCTTAGATTACCAACAATGTAAACCACTGGCTTAACACGAGTCTCACAAAACAGAAGCAGATTGATATGTACCTGATGTAACATGGTTGCTTAGATTACCAACAATGTAAACCACTGGTTTAACAGGAGTCTCATAAAACACAAGCACATTGATATGTACCTGATGTAACATGGTATGCCCATTTACCAACATGCTAAACATTTGGCCTAACCGGGATATTGTGGATCATCATCTCGTTAAGAACCTTCCTTTACATAGAAATCCTGGACCACTAGTGTATTAAACATAATTTCTACAGAATTCCTCAATTTATTTATAAAAAAAAAAAAGCCAAGGCAAAATCCTCACTATCAAAAGGACTTCACTCATAACTGTCCCAGCATACGTTTAGATTTATATGCAGTACCATTATGAACATTTATAACATTTGCTACTATAAATTGTTAACCGAAACTATTTCTGCAAAGTGTTTGGTAAATATAATTATTCGCGTGTATTCCATTTAAATTCAAACACGTTTTTGTCATTTATGAAACTATATTTTAATCTAACACTCATTCATTGAATTTTCTCCGAGTTGTTTAGCTTAGGGAAGTTGCACTGGGATAATTTGAAAAGAAAATCATAACTCTTAACTCGATTACTTGTTATTATATTGTTCTTTTTAATTTTTGAATCATTTAGTGAATTTGTTATGAATCAGTTTTAAAGGATCCAACTATGTGAAATGTTATTATGCGGTATAAAACGGTTTAAGGACAAGTTGATTTATCTCATAAATTTGATGATAAACGTTATACTTTAGATAGGCTTAAGTTGATTTTATCTCGTAAATTTGATGATAAACCTTATACTTTAGATAGGCTTAATTTGAGTTGGTACCTTTTATCAAGTCATTTTTTCCAGAATTATTAATTTCGCTCTGAGTATTACTTCGAAACAACTGAAAATAAAAGATTGTCCGGCGAATGCCATTTGTACAGAAAGTAAGAACAAACAAATCAATAGGTACTTTTAGGTACTCTTAGGATGCGACCGAATTTTGTAAATTCGGATGGATTTCAAAATTTGAATATCCACATATTATTAATAACTATTTTTAGTTTAGGAGTAGTAAATGTAAATAATTATTAAGCACAGAGGTATTTAATACGCAGTACTCTACACGACCCATTGAAACAATCTATAACGCTTTTTTTGATAGGACCAAGGTTGGGCCACGGCTTAACATCCAGTTAATGTTTGTTTGCCTTACAGTTGTCAGGACGCGACATCACGTATTCGTGTGCAGCTGCGCAGCTCGTGACCATCTGTTCTGTCTATTTGATTATATCGGTCTGTTCACGAGCTAGGATTCCAACTATCGTTAAGACAAGAAAGACCTATTAGAAATTCGAATGGACCAAGCTTTTATCTGGACTATACCAACTTAAAGTGGATTGTGAAAGTATAATTGTGAAGTTTTCATTCTTGAAAGTGAGAGCTTCTTTTACAGTTGAAGTCCAGAACCCTAGTTTGTTATGTATGAACCAATATCATAACGCACATTTACACGGCATAATACCTCCTACACCTATTGCGCGTGTGTTTAGCAGCAGTGGTCTAGCAGCTGCTGTCTGGTACATTGTTACCTCGACGGCTGTGGGGCCTCTAAAATGAGCGTGTTCCTTTTATACGTGATTGGTCAATGCAAATAGTTATAATTTAACCTAGACACTTAGCTTGAAGCTTATCTAACGGTAAAATTTATTTGATTCCAAGAGTTAGACATGTTGCCGGAATTGAAAGCATCTGATTTTACTTTTACTGAACACCATTTCTTTGACCCATGCCTGAAAAGATCCTTCCGGTTCTTTTTATTCTTCTATAGTTGCATCGAGCTTTTCGCAATCTGTTAATTTTTTTTGTTTGCTAAACTTGAAAACGTTTTTAAATTCAGGTCAATGCTGATGTGGTCTAATTTTCTCCCCTCTTACCGCACGCGTCGATCACGCGCTACTACTTTTCTTTTGCTTAGGGGATGTGAGAGTGTGGTCGATCCTCGGAAAGTATACACGACAAAGCTCGTGGTGCGCGCACGTCTTAATCATAGGGCGCGTGCCCCCTGTGAAAACGCGCAGCCATATCTTGTGTGGATAACAATTCATCACAAGGTCGTGACCAAAAAACCGTGACGTAGGTTCCCTTGGGAAGTTATTGGTAGGGTGTTGATCCAGTTTTACCTCCCCTTCTCACCCCACCTCTCAAAGTCGGCGTCCCAGCCTCTCCCCTACTGTTAGTTTTTGTTCGCTTCCTCCTTCGGGCCTTTCGTTTCCTCTTTTTTTGTCCCACTCTTCTGCTACTGCGCATGCATTTCTGTGTTCAACAATGACTAAAGCTCCATCTCTGCCGACAGTATCTTTCTGTCATCCGGCGTCTGTGGACTTTCGTCTGGCTAAGCTGAACGCGTTTACAGGATGCGTGCGCCTCGTCCAACGACTTGTTCTTCAACGAACCTCAACGTTAAGAACGCTGTTCAGATAACAGAAGTAAGTATCAAAGAATCACAATATTTCTGTTAATTTGCGATTCTAAACAATGTGCTTGTCAATGTTTAAGCTAGCAGTACTTCTTCATCTGTTCGTACTTCAAAATTGTAACTTAAAGTTGGTTTGGGTTTACTAACATCATGAGAGTTCTTGTTAAATTGATTTTTGTTTTCGTGATCGTAGCGCAAGTTTTCTTTAAAACAATAATAATAATTCGTGACTACTAAAGCCCGAATAAACAAAACATAGAAATAATTCTACTGCTAGTGTTTTATGTTTTGTATGAGTTACTCGCGCCACGTTTTTTGCGAACGTTTTGGAATTTTTAATACATAAGAATCAGTAAGAAACATTCGTACTATTTATAATGAAAATGAGATAAGGGACCATCACAATTCATTTTGTTTTCTTAAAAGGTATACTCGGTGTTTAACTTCTGTCAGATCTCTCAGAATCTGGGATCCGGATCCTGTTTTGAATTTTTTTTTTTAGTTAAAGGCAAAAAACCCATTTTACGTCTGCCTCAGTTGCATTGCGAATTGTTATTCGACTGATGTAGTTAATTATTTCCTTCTAGTTCCAACCTAAATATTAGTCTCAAAGATATTTAAATGTTATTATCTTTGAAAATTAAAAATTTTCCGCAACCCATAACGTATAAAAAAAATTATAAATCAAAGGATACTAAATCTTAACCTACTATTCCTCCCTTCTGATATCTAGGTTGATATATTTATCAAGTTATGTTGGTAGAAATTGAAACAGGATTATCTTGGTACCTTTGATAATAAAATACAATTTTAGCACATATTGCTTGATTTTTACGCTTGAAGTATTTCTTTGCTGTTATAGTAGTTTGCGAACGGCAAAAAGTTTTCAAAAGAAATGAGCTTTCCTTACAGTGTAAACATTCTTTATTTTCTTTCTATCTACATTATAAACTTATTTGTTAAAGAACAGATATTTATACAGGTAAGAGAATAGTAAAAAAAAAATGTATGTCAAACGGCATCTAATACAAAGCATTTGTGACATGGAAGAAATGAAGAAAGAACAATAACGTTAACTGCATTTAGGTACATTAAGATAATTTTGAAAAAGTTATTAAAGTAAGCAAAGCTTAAAGGTAAAAAGGACACCAAAAGGGAGTAACTGGCGTAACGTAGAGAATTTGAGTGAAGTAAACTGAAATTAAACTTGAAGGTTGTAATATGTTGTGAACATCATAAGCACCACAACATTGAAGAAAACTATTTAAAGATCTAGTTATATGTATACATATTCTGTAAAAAAATAGTGTTCTAAATTAACACAATCATTGTTTTATATATTTAAAATGGCATAAATTATGTTCCCAGAAACAAACAAGTGTGAACTATAAAACTATTGCTTTCTGTAGGTATATAAACACGTTTGGTTTGCTTTATAACAACGAAAATTATGCGAGGTTTTCATTCATATGTAGGTTGTATAGAATTCAACATAAAGACTGTGCATCAACCAAAACATGTGTATTGTGCTTTTTAACCCGCACTGCATTTGTTGTTTTACAGAAGTTGTTTTACAACGTATATGAAATTAATGAATGTTACAAAAAAGAAAGAAAACGGCAGACATAACGTTCGTGATAAGTCACGTCAGTCTGTTTGGGAAGAGCTGAAAAGTGATTTCTGCAAAAAACAAACAAACCGAAATACATGGACAGAGTTCTGGATTCATACTGGTATGGCAGTCTGTAATATATTCTTAAATAACATATACGAATACTTACCAATTTCCGTAAAAGAAAATTGGATATCTGTATAGAGTTAAGCCTAATTAACTGACTGTGTACCAACTATTATACACTTAATATAGCCTAATGAGTAATTAAATAACTGTGTGATCTGCTAGTCCGAGGACCCAAAATGTGTTATACCAAATTTCAAACTGTATGGAATCGTTGCTAAGTAACTTTCAACCACTGATTATTTTGTCTTCCAATAAATAAATAAATTCACCTCTAGAACCTCCATTGTTTAGCAAGAAATCGTGGATACTAAAATGCACCAACAAAAAAAGAAGTAAAATTAAACACTGCCAAATGTATTCATACCCAACGCTAAGACAACTAGACGTTTGAAAAATAAGAATCAAGACTTAATAGCTATTGTTTTAAAATATTAGGTCGTGAAGAAATTAATGTCGCTTTGTTTTCAGATGAAGAAACCCGAACAACATTAAATGAAATAGTCTCCATTTTTATCAATGATGCTTTTCCATCTTACAATCAGGTTGTTAATCCCCCTGATTAAAGAAATCACTTGGCTTTGAAGCAAAAAACATGTCGATGTCTTCTTTAACACCTTCCACATTTTGCATACGTTTTCCCATTAAGATGGTGTTG